CCACTGAACCATGAAAATAAGGTCAAGGTCAGATGACACCTGCCCGCTAGACATGTACACCTTACAATCATTCCATACACCAAATATAGTAGACCTATGGCATACAGTATAAGAAATACAGACCAAAACACAAAAACTTAACTATAACCACTGAACCATGAAAATGAGGCCAAGGTCAGATGACACCTGCCAGTTGGACATGTACACCTTACAGTCCTTCCATACACCGAATATACTAGACCTATTGCTTATAGTATCTGAGATATGGACTTGACCACCAAAACTTAACCTTGTTCATTGATCCATGAAATGAGGTCGAGGTCAAGTGAAAACTGTCTGACGGGCATGAGGACCTTGCAAGGTACGCACATACCAAATATAGTTATCTTATTACTTATAATAAGAGAGAATCTAACATTACAAAAAATCTTAACTTTTTTTTCAAGTAGTCACTGAACCATGAAAATGAGGTCAAGGACATTGGACATGTGACTGACGGAAACTTCGTAACATGAGGCATCCATATACAAAGTATGAAGCATCCAGACCTTCCACCTTCTAAAATATAAAGCTTTTAAGAAGTTAGCTAACGCCGCCGCCGCCGCCGCCGCCGCCGTAGCCGCCGCCGCCGCCGCCGGATCGCTATCCCTATGTCGAGCTTTCTGCGACAAAAGTCGCAGGCTCGACAAAAATGGTCGTCGCTATATAGTTTTGGGGTTTTGATATAATAATTAAAGAACTCGTCCTTCCTAGATTTATTCCAAAAAATAATTCGTGTGACAGTGCCACTTTTCCTTTGCTTAATAATGATGATACGTTCGCGCTTCTTTTTATAATATTATTTACGAGCGTATTGCATTTGTGCCAATTTTTTTTTAAACGCATCATTAAATTTTTCATAAGCGCTACAAGGTTATATTTCATTTGCGCCAAAAGATTAATAGTCATTTTTGCGCCATTTTATAGGTAGTTATAATAAGTATAATAGCTGCAATTCGTATTTCTAAAAATGGCCACAAATCGTTTTATGATACAAACAGAAGCTCCGGTTATTGCGTGTTTTGAACTTATCCTGGTCGACATCCTACCTCCACATCAGGCGTCGTGGTGATATGGGGTAACATGTAATGCTGGGAAACCAAAGATAATAATACAAGTATTTAACATAAACTGATTAGTAGAAATAGGTATTGGTATTATTACTATTATCTATACTATTAATCCGTAATTTTGACGCAATGAAATATTTCATTTTGGCGCAAATGAAATATCTTATAATTGGCGCAAATGAAATATCTTCTTATTGGCCCAAATGAAATATCTTATAATTGGCGCAAATGAAAGATTTATTTGTCGCAAATGAAAGGTCAATTGTCGCAAAAGCAAAGTATAGAATATTTACTATTGTTTACTCGGACTTGTGTTTATGTAGCAATAATGTACGATATCTCAAAAGTCTTAGGAAATTATTTGAAATTAAAGTGGCTTTAGTTGCCAAATTCATGTCTTCCGCATTGATTTATATAAACGATCCGGGACTTTTTTATTACAAAATTGTATCAAACTGGCTGCTTATATCAAATAAGTATTTCGATATTCTGCTTTTATTAATCTTTGAAACAAAACAAAAAAGTATATTTTATCGTTGGTCTTAAACCTAGCTAATATCCCTTTAGGGAATGTACCTCATTTGTGCATAAATCAGATTCCTAAATATCAGAATATACGGGTTTGGAATTACTGTTTCTCCTTGCGGATAGATTAGCTCTCCAACGTTGTATTATATTTTGGGTTTACTTGCATTTTGTCATCACTGGAGAGAACTTGTGCATTCATTAAAATTGGTACCGGCGATAAAAATAATTTCTTACATAAATAAAAAAAAAAGGTCGTCGCTTTATAGTTTTTAGGGTTTTGATATTGCATGCCATGGGTGTTTTATAATAAGGATTTTAGCGTAGATCTTTATAATTTATAAAAATCCATATCTGATTGACATCGCTAATATATGAAGGCTATCTTTTACTGTAGAAAGAATGACAGTGCGAACTTATTATAATAAGAAAGATGCTTAATCGAAATCGAAAAGGACCAAAATTAAAGCCAGAACCTAGAAAATGAATCGATTAAAATCTTTCAAATATTCGGCTTTGAGCGTGTCTGATGGAGGTTAATCCAGAAAAGCACTTAGGACGGATGCAATTTATAACATGTTGTTTTTATCTTATAAAGCCACATAAGGCGACTTCTTCTTTATATATATCTTTTTCATTACTTTTGTCTGGGACCAACACAAAAATTATTATAACAGTCTATGTATGAATAAAAGGTTTGGTCGGTTGCATTGCAAATTGATTTAGAGGACGTTTATATTTTTGTTGGACTGGAAATTTAGAGACATTATGCTTCATTTTGATATATGTATCAATGAAACTTTAGCAAAATTCACCAAATAATGTTCTTTCACTTTTTTTTTTTGTAATTTCTACAAATTGTCAACATCTGAAATTAAAGTCCAATGGATCAGTTGCAATATTACTTGATGGCTGCTTAATGTCTAGTGGTAAATATTAGACGCATATTTAGTATGTTAACACTTTAATGGAATGAAAATAATCCATGATTTTAACTTGACCCACATGTCGAATTAGATTTTTTCACCTTTCAAAGTAACTAGAGTGCTCACGCTGAAATGTCTCGCTTGTTTTACTTATCATTAAATTCATACCAAAACCAATAACAACAAATTCATGTTGAGAGTCTGTAACATGAAGGTTTTACTACAAGTATCACATAATCTTAACATTATCAATGTTTTATGAAAATGAGGTCACGGTCAGATGAACCATGCCAGACATATATGTACACCTTACAATCATTCCATACACTACATATAGTGGTCCTATCGCTTAGAGTGCCCGAGAAACGGATCAAACCACAAGATCTTAACCTTGGCCAATGAACCATGAAAATGAGGTCAAGGTTATATGAACCTTGCCAGACAGACATGTACACCTTACAATCATTCCATATACTACATATACATGTAGTGGTCCTATCGCAAATAGTACCAGAGAAACAGATCAAACCACAAAATCTTAACATTGACCAAAGAACCATGAAAATGAGGTCAAGGTCATATGAACCCTGCAAGACAGACATGTACACGTTACAATCATTCCATATACCAAATATAGTTGACCTATGGCTTCTAGTATCTGATAAACTGACAACATTATGAAACCTTATCATTAACCAATGATCCATGAAAATGAGGCCAAGGTCATATGAGCCCTGCCAGACAGACATGTACACCTTACAATTGTTCCATACACTAAATATAATTGACCTCTTGTTTATAATATCTGAGAAATAGACCAAACCACAAAAACTAAACATTGTCCAATGAACCATGAAAATAAGGTTAAGTTCAGATGAAACCTGCCAGTCTGACATGTACACCTTACAATCATTCCATACACCAAATATAGCTGATCTATTGCTTATAGTAACTGAGATACGGACTTGACCACCTATTTTTAACATTGATCACCGATCCATGGAATGAGGTCCAGGTCAGGTGAGCCCTACCTGACGGACAGGTTGAAGTTCCAAGGAACCCATATACCAAATATAGTTATCATATTAAGTAAGTACTTCACTTATCAAAAACTGTAAAAAGTTTTCAAACAATCACTGAACCATGAAACATAAGGTATCTGCAAAAAGGTATGAAGCATTCAGGTCTTCTACCTTCTGAAATATAAAGCTTTAAACAAATAGTTTACAAAATTTCGTCGCAGGTGCAACAAAAATCTACAGGAAAACATGTCACCATATCCAGACCCATTATTCTGATTCAAAGTCAGCTAGACTTAAATCTTGACTCGAAAATGTTGCATGCTAAAAAGATAAGCGGTAAATACCAATTTAAAGTCTATGATGTGTCCCAGGTGAGGATCAATCCTGGGACTATTATACTATATAATAGTCCCAGATCAATCACAAAACCTTATGCACTTGATGATAATGATGAATGGCTGTTTAAAGTCCAGCAGCAAATCAAATGCATATTCAGGACATAAACATGTTAATAAGATATGAATACTAACCTTGCTTTGTACTAAAATGACACATTGTCATGCTGCTTCACAGGGTAACAGTCCACTGGAAGACATGTCACACTATAGCTATTTGGATACAATATTCAGATTCCAATGCAGTGTATCCCAAACTCTGTCTGACCGACAAAATGTCAGACAAAAATTCATTCAGTCAGACAGAAATTTTGAGATTTTTTAGTTAAAATTATAGTAGAAAAGGTCAAATTTCTTTTTCGGTCGGACAAACTTTAAAACAGTTTGGTACAGACTGCTGAACAGTCTATTCTCTTAATCCTTAATGCTGCATGCTTAGCAGAGAGGCAGCAAATACCAATGTTAAAGTCTTTGGTTTACACGGCTGGGGTTCAAACCCACAATCTCACACACTCCAAGCTAACACGTTGCCAAGAATAAATATATAAATATGAATATTCAGCTGTTTATGTTTGACCTTTGTTCAGCATTTTAGTTCTTAAGGTGGTACCTAACACTACAGGGAGATAACTCTGTAAAAATCAGCTAAACGTTTTAATTATGTTGTATTGCTAAGGAAATATTAAGCTTCTCAATGATCAAAATTAGTGTTTGTCAAACTGCTATATAACCAATGAAATTTTCCTGATAAAGTGGTTGGTTCAAATTTTTTGAAATTTTAATATTTTTGTCAAAGGGTCAAAGTAAACATTTTGTCAAAATTTTATGAAAATTAAACGAGCCAAATTAATATTAGTCAAGGTGTTGGGTACCACCTTAATCAATATCATAATAATCATAAATATAACTGTTTTTTTCACTTTTATTCCTAGTTAATTAAATATGACTGCATATTTAAATATGAGAAAATAACATATATTTATGAAATCCTTTTAACAAAAGTAGTAATATAAAATATTCAAATTTGAATTTGCTGTGCAATTAAAGAAAAAACTACAATTTTTTCTGTACAACATAAAAACTCAATATAATTTGACAAAGCATAACAATTTATACAAAATTTAACATTATTATAGATATAAAATTTTGATTTCTGGTAAAAGTGTAATTTCTAATACCGTTTTTGCAGATTTGAGCTACCTCAAAACAAAAATCTTGGTTCAAAGGAAACCATGCCCCACTTGCATTATAATTCCTTGTTCAGTGAACTGTGAAATTGGGGTCATAACCTTAAATTGGCATGGTATTTTAAAGTTTCACACATACATAACATGTGTACTCTATAAGTTTCAAGTTGATATGACCACAACCATGACACTTTCATGGTAAACTATCTGGACCAAAAAATTTTACCTGAAAAGAACAGACCAGAAAACATAATGCCCCCTACATTGTAAAAATAATCCATTAGGCATAACAATATGGTTCCTTTGTAATGAAACTTAAGGAGCAAAGAAATTTCTGCTCTAATTAATAGCAAAACTGGCCTTAATAAAGAGTAAACTATCATTATAAAAAGTAGGAGGTGGCTTGTCAGCATTTAACCAATCAGCTGTGATCACATGTATTTTACTTTAAAAATGCATGTACATGTACGATAATAAAAATTTAGTTATTTTCTAGTTTAGTATCTATGTTGAGTTTTACAAATATCTTGTATATATTGAAAATGAGTCAAGAATCCTTGATATAAAATAAAAATTTCAATGAATTGTTATACATGTAAAAGCAATATTCATATATCTTTAGAATTCAAAACCTTTGAGAAACATGAGGAAAAAATTAATATTTTCATAAACAAAATTTGTTAAAAAAAATCCTGTTCAACACCATTAGATATCATAAAACCTGTTACCATAACCTATTTATAAGCATAAAAAGTTTGGCTCTAATGTAAAATGGTGGTTTTCCTGGTGAACTTTAAAAAAAAAGATCATTGGTATTTAATTTTTTTTATACTTCAAAATGAACTCATGAGACTGTGTTTGGAAAATTTGATATTTGGTACAATCATGACAATTTGTAAAGGCAATATAAATCAAAACTTTTTTGTCAGAAAAACATATTTTTTTTTCTAAATTGGAAACAGAAAAATTGAAAAGATAATCTTAACAAAAGAACATCTTAGGTTTCCATTCAATTCCTTACCAGGCACATCCATTTTGGGGTCATAATCTGTTCTGGCCAATCATATCCCTCCTTCCAGCTTTTGGAATTTTTTTAAAATGGAAACAACTCTTCCAACTGTAATATTTTGTGTAACTTTCACACTACCATTTAAGAACTGGTATCTGATTGGAAGAACTTTTTGTAATGAATAATCATGACAGTGGTCATTGAAATGTGACCTTGAATGGGTTTTCATAAAATCTTTGTGCTGGTAGTGAACATGGTGAAGGGAAGGTGAACTAAGATGTTTTTTTTACAAAGATTCAGGGAAAAATTATATTCCCAACATTTTTTATGATGCAAGTTGCAACTACAGCCACTTTCAAAGAATAATTAATGCCCTGGTCCTGCAAAGTTTAACCAAGATACATCAACAGTCTGATTGTTCAGTGTATACTGTAGGACCACCATGACCAAATGACCATCTGCTGCCTGTTCTTTGTTCATTTTCCTGTACATAAATTTTTTCTGTACATACAAATGAGAAGCAATGAAACATTGACTGGTATATATAATGAGAAATGAAGATGTAAATATGCAATGGAAAATGCAGTCAGTTTTGTTGGAAAAAACAAGCCTTGCGATTGAAATATTTGATGCGTCATCATTATGACAAGAATGCCCCATATCTTTAAAAGTCTTTATTTCTTCAAAAGTCTGTCAACAGGAAAGAAACACAAATCCTGTCCTGTTAATTAGTTGTCATAATATAAAAACATACCAAAAATCTGATCAATATCTGCAGGCATAATGTAAAAAAAACAGGACAACTTAGAATTTAGAATTGACAGAAGAATTGACTGATATTTGGAAAAATAATGGATGTTATTTTGAACGAAGAAAGAATTGTTTTGGAAAAATTCATTTAAAAAAGATGAAACTGGCTGGCCATAACTAGAACTTGTTGTCAGACCTTAGTAGTAATTAAACCAGTCATGCAAGAAGAGACAGTTTGAATCAATAATCCTTAAATAAAATACATGTTCTCAAAGCATTTCATTGACTTGATGAAGCGATCAACTGATGTCTGAATCACATTAAAGCATCACAAAAATTACAGAGTATTATCTGTCTTAAAAAAAGTATAAGCTTTAAAAAAGGTTGCCAGACCTTAAGAAATAATTTTTTTATGTAAAAATTTATTGTGTTTATGGTCATAATGATATAATGTTGAAAATTTAAAAAAGAAAAAAGAAAATAAGTTTTCTGGACAGGGAATGTACAAACATATATAATAATAAATAAAGGTGCTCGACAAGCTTTTTTATGAAGCTTATACTTGTAATATCAATAATATTCAAATCCATTTGAATTATACTTGTGACTCCATTGAATATGGGGATTTAACTTCATCCAATAATACTGAACTAGCGAGTTCCAGATTCCAGTTTAATGCGTCTAGCAGTTTTTCACACTTTTCTCTACGTGTTATCCCAAGACGAAATAACTGTTCTGTTTTTAGAAATCTTATTGCACTTTCTGTATCCCACGATGCATGGCACAATGCAGCATGACACTCCTCATCGGTGACCCCGATGACAGAGTTCATAACAGAAAAAACTTTCTCTCTTGGAGACGTAGAAAGGAATTCAACATTTGGAACTTTTCTAGATTTTTGCATATTCAAAGGTGCTGAAGATTTTCTTGATTTTCTATTACTATCTACCGGTTTCATCCAAGATAAATCATCACTAGCAGACGACAATCTACTTCCCGGAAGACTTAAATTTGGAACATTTTGATATTCACTCCCTGTTGAACTTCGGTGGTTATCATTTATTTGTGTTCCATCAACAGAGAATGGTTTTATTTCAGCAGTGTTAGGTTTCTGCTTCCGTTGTTGATTTTCCTCTCGTGGCGCAAGCAGAAAGTAATGAGTATGACTTAGTTGTTTTCCTTCCTGTAAGATAGGATTTATCCGACATTTTTCAGCTTTTTTATGAAAAGTTCCCCTCCCAGAGTCTAAACTACTTGATAAATAATCTCTTGGAGGAAGAGGTGGGGCATCAGGGTCTGTTGGTATTGGCAACGGGGCTGATGCTGCCATGCCAGTATCAACCTCATCATCGTCAAAATCAGAGTCGAATGAATCCCAACTGATATTGTCATCATCCACATTCTGAACAGCGGAAACATTTTTGTTCACTTTAGGTTGAATCTGCTCCTCAAATGGAACTTCATCATATAATGGCGGTGATTTATAATTAAATCCGCTATTATTCTGACTTTCGTCAGGCACTTGGTCATAAAGCGGAAAAGTACTTTTGTTTTCGTCCTTTGATACTGAAAAATTGCTAATAGCATCACTAATCCAATCAAAAGCCTTGTCTGATTTTTTCTGATAGAGAGAAGTCTGTTGCACTTGATTACGTTCTAATGAAGACGTCTCGTATGAGGGATGTGGCTTGACAACATGGACTGTTGAGGAATGAGGTGACTGATTGGACATGTTATTATACAAATGATCCGAATCTTCGTTCGGCGGTAATGAATAATACGATTCACCTTTGTCTGTTAAATGAGTTGATGTTGGAGGTAACAGTTTAACTCCCCTTGGCGGTATAGGTGGCAAGACATCATTAGGTGATGCTTTCAAAGAATCGGACTCAACTGTCTTTTTTGTTTTATCATCTTGAGAATGATTTCGACTATAAACAATCGGTTGTCTTTGTTTTGTTGGACTTTCTGACTGTTGCCTAGGAACAGGATATCCAGCAGAATATGAGCCACGGTAAGGGGAGGTAATATCAAATGGATCATTTTTATTGTCTATCAATGGTTTTTGAAGCTCAAGATTCCCATAATGGGAAGGATTTGAACTTAGCAATGAATCTAACAGACACAGCGAGCTCGGTGCCGTCTGCTTTTTAATTGTTGTATCAATTTTTTCACTATCGTCACTTAAGTCTATCAATGGTTGGTCTTCGATTTGATGCTTTGTTGTTTGAGCAGTAGTAGGATTAGGAATGCTTGTTGCCGCGACGATAGCCGTCGCTCTATGATGAGAAGATTTCCTTTTGACTGGACTATCATCGCGGTCATTCACTAGCTTTGAATAATTAAATAACTTGGATGAGTTGATGGTGAAAGATTCTGAAATTGAAATATAATAGATAAGAACAAATGCTTACAGACAGTGACTTAAAGACTTTGAAATCTAACAGTAGTAAAATGTAAATTAACAAAAATACTGAACTCCAAGGAAATTCAAAATGGAAAGTCCCTTATCAAATGGCAAAGTCAAAAGCTGAAACACATCAAAAGAATGGAAAACAACTGTCATATTTTTGACTTGGTACAGGCATTTCCTTTTGTAGAAAATAGTGGATTAAACCTGGTTTCATAGCTTTTTATATATTTGTAACATGTTTATAAAATCTTAACTAGATTTTCTTGGTACATCATGTGCATGTTTTAAGATGAAAGAATAAATATGCAATTCCACTCCAAATGGAAGGCATGGAAATAAATCTCAAATATAAAAATCACTGTATGTTACAGTGTGAATTTTTTTTTTATCAACAAAAATAAATAATAATAATAATAATAATAATAATAATAATAATAATGATAATGATAATGATAATGATATTGATATTGATATTGATATTGATATTGATATTGATAATGATAATGATAATATGATAATGATAATAATAAAGAATAGAATGCAAGACTTTTATCTAAAAATAATAGTTTCTAGTATTTTATAGATACCTTTGAAAATTTAAAAAAAACAACTTTATCATGTTTATCAAGAAATAATAATACACAATTATATATCAACCCATATCATGCATATTGTGATCTTACTTTTATTTCTGTCAGGAAGATGGGTTGGTTTCAAGTTTTCCGCTGGACCATGAAGATCTGGAGGCTCCATAGGGTTCCTCAAGTAAACTCTTTAATAATTGAAATAAAGATACATGTGCAGAATCTTGTTAAGAGTCCATGGCCAAACGAAATGCATGGTAAACTAAAGTAAAATGATTTCTATCTTACAAAATTTGCAATACTTGGACATTAATGAGGTCTATGATACCTACATATATAGGTTGCCAAGATTTTGTTTTCTAGCACTTTCATCTAGTTTCACAACTACAGTATATATACAATATGATCACTCTTTAATTATTCCTGATGGTGATTTTTCAGGGTGAAATCTAAGTGATTTTGGGTGGTTCACTTTGAAATAAAACTCAGTATTATCGTACTTCCCTGCCATATATTGCCCAGCTTTTAAATTCAGAATTTATGGCATCATGATTTCAGAAGTAAGCAGAACTCATTAGTAACATCATAATGTGTGAATGAAAAGTTTTCAGCGACATCACAATAAGACAACAAAATTTATCAAGTTTACTCTCTTTAGGAGTACCAAGCAAAAAATAGTTAAAGGTAGGGGAAAAAGGACCAGAAATGCTACTAGAAACAGATTATCCGGGATCCTGCATATAAAAAATGATAATACCAGTGAAGCAAAATATTAAATGCATTTTTAACAAATTTTAAGTATGTAAATCAAGACTTTTTTTTACTAACTCCACATCAATCAACCTGTTTTGTTGTAATTGACTCAAACCCAGGAAGATACACCAACCATGATTTTTTTTTATGAATGACTTTCACCTGTTGACCCAGGGTCAATCAGCTTAAATGTAGTCATTGAAAAATTGGTTCTTACTGTGACTTAATAGTATTAGCATAGTAACAAAGGAAATTTACAGGAAAGTGCACGATTAAATCTGTCAATTGATTTTTTAATGGAATCACCCTATATGGTAATGAGACTAAAAATAATGCTGTAAATTTAGAAATTATTGCGAGGTTATTATCAATGCGAATAATGCGACTGTGTGAGTATCGCAATAATAAGAACTTGCATTTTGATATCTGATAAATATATCTGTATGCAGATTTTCCTGACGTCGCAATAATGAATCTCGCTTTTTTGTCCATTCTCCTAAAATCGCAATAATAAATGCACGCAATAATTTCTGAATTTACAGTACTTATCCATCATGAAAAACATTAACACTATAATAAAGATAAGCCAAAAAATAATTACAACTTTAGTACAGAGGATGCTCTAAGGAAGATGAAGCTTCATTTCAGAAGGAAATTTTATAGGCTTCTATAAAGTATGGGTTTTGCTAATTTTTAAAGGCTGTACAGTGACCCTGTAGTTGTTAACATCTTTTTCCTTTGGTGTATGAATAGTTGTCTCATGGGTAATCATACAACATCTCCATATTTCTACATAAATGTGTTTAAATAAAGATCTTACTCATCAATCTCTGTAGGGCTTCCCCACGACTTTCCTCCGGGGTCGCCATGACCAGTGTGTATGAAACTGTTCTTTAATGGTTTACTTATGTCTGTCTCTGAAATTACAAAACATTATTTTTTTGGTTTTAAGATGATTGAAATTCATTTTGTCTCTATATCTCTATCATGTCTATGATCTACCAAATATTGTGTATTTCCTACAGAATTTTTTATGCAATGCAATGCATTCTTGCTTTAGCTTGTCAACGTCTATATGTCTTACATTGGTTTTTAAAACATACATCTAATTGACACACACATGGCGAAATATATTGAAATTTAGTCATTTTTCAACATTTTCTTACCCATCACCATTCAGTTAATACGAAATGTATGAAAAATCAAGGAAGAATATTTCCCAGCAAATACTTTTAAATTAAAAACAATTTTAGAACTTAACTATTCAATAGTTTTGATTCATTTCCATTTATTCTCTGAACCACTTAAGAAAACAGTAGATTTAAGAAGAAGATAATCTTAAGAAGTCCAGAGGCAATCATATTAATTTTGAGTCAAAAGGCAGAAAATATTGCTTTTATTGTGCATTGTAAAATTTAATTAAATATTTTCATTGCATTCAGCATAGAAAAATATTAAACCAATATTTTGAAAAAAAATTCTCTCCCTTTGTCCTTAGTAGTAGATAGACCAACTAGTACTCAAACTGTACCTTTCTTGACAAGTATGGTAATATATTTACTTATATTCAGTGACTAAAACCAATCAAAATATTGAATTTGGTGTTTCGTGAACAGATTCTGTACTCTTGAGTACTGAGTAAAGTTTTAAGACCAAAAGGCCAGATTCCCCTTTTTGCAATCTTAAACCAATCTTTAATTGAATTATCTCCTTTGCTTAGTTCTATGATAACTTTGTTCCCTATAATGCTACTATTTTCACCATAAAATACACTTAAACATTTATAGTACCCAATCAATCGAAATGCACAGCCATACAATACATTCTATACAACAACTATTTCCTTCAGAATTAGACCTGAGAAAATACACAATTTATGTGTTCAATAACACATCAAAATTATTATGTGAAGACTGCCAAAGTGTTACATACGAGCTAACTTTCGCTGAGGATCGACACACTGTCGTGGAAACATGCCTACTTCAAGTGATCGCTTGTTTTGTCCTTTCCACCAATAACAGTCTGGTCTGGAAATAAAATAAGAATTCATTTTTAGTTTCTAACAAAAATGTGTCCATAGTACACGGATGCCCCACTCACACTATCATTTTCTATGTTCAGTGGACCGTTAAATTGGGGTCAAAACTCTAATTTGGCATTGAAATTAGAAAGATCATATCATAGGGAACATGTGTACTAAGTTTCAAGTTAATTGGACTTCAACTTCATCGAAAACTTCCTTGACCAAAAACTTTAACCTGAAGCGGCACAGATGGACGGACAGACAAACAGACTCACAGACCAGAAAACATAATGCCCTTACTACTATCATAGGCGGGGCATAAAAATGAAGACGGAATCAAAATAAATTGAATTATTTCCACCGATACATACTTTTTCAGATAGAGTAAACTACACAAAAACTAACTAAATTGTTCAACATTGTTCAATACATTACCAAGAGTAATAAGAGGGTGTGGATTGGGTTTACAGAATAGAGAATAATGGGCAAAAAAAAAATAAAGAATACAGAATAATGGAGTGCTAAAATATAAAGAATAACTGCAAAAATTAAATAATTAGGTAAAAAAATACTGATTACAGAAAAGATCAATGTCTAGAATACAGTTATCAAGCAATTATAAAATAGCCATTCATTTTAAAGATAAAGAATAATGAGCGAAAAAAATTAAAGAATACAGAAATGAAACTACCATTTGTGAATGTGTGATATCTATAGTTTGTCTGTGAGTAGATCAAATAACATTTAACTAAGGGGAGTAACTCTTTAACACAATGGGAAGTAACTCTTGTCTCACCTGCCATCTAGAATAGTGATATAGTCCCCCTCATCTACTTTCAGTTTTCCATCTTCGCTAAAAGATTGCACGACTTTCACATCTTGTGGTCTTACCTATTGAAATACAAATTCATAAAAAATCATAATGCATGCCATAATTACAAATTGATATGTTAAAGGAATTTTGGTTTAATGGTGAATACAATATATAAAATCCATAGGACACCATGACCGGCTGGCACTATTACATTTCTGTACATGTGTTTAAACAGTGTTCCAGCTAGGCCGTTGAAACAGGGCGGTCCGCCCGCCCTTTCCCGAGTGCCGCCCTGTGCCTTTTTTGCAGTTTCCAGGGCGCCCTGCCTTTTTGAAGATCGATTGTATTTTATTTTGTTCTTTATAAATGTTATGATCCGCCATTACAAAATTTTACCATGCGGCAAGTTTATGATTTTGTTTACGACCCCAAGCTAATCAACGGTTACAACAGGTGTCATAATCTGTTGTTACAGGTAATCCGTTTATCGGATGGGTCATTAATGATCATCAACATTAATTCATTCAAATAGAATTGGTCAGTCGGCATGAAGAAATGTTAATACGACTACACAATTTGCGATGTTTACCGTAGTTTCATGGAGGAAACGTAATTGACAGAAAAACGAAAACCATAATCAACTTGTTAAAAACATCGTTTTACTTGTTTTCCGTAAAACTTTTTAGCAAATTCAGACGTATTTGTCTTTGCCTGCCCTCACTTTTGATACGAAAATAACAAAACCAGCCGCCATGTTAATCATATTTACTTCTTCTATGTACTGTGTATAATCCTCCAAAGAAGGAGCACACCCGAATAAAGAAAGATAACTCTTTTTTATTTTTTCCTAGCATTGAGTTATGTACTTAAGATATTCTAAAATATGTCTACATACTCTGGCTTTATAATTTATGTGTTTAGGCCTTTTGAATTATGGGAAAAGTTAAAGAGGGCGTTTGTAGCAGAGTGCCTTGGTCATCTTTTTCTGTATTCTTTATTTTTAATACAAATTTTCACTGTTCACTATATCCTAACATTGTGCATTTACTGATCACAGCTGCTGTATTGCCTTTAGGCACAGCAGAGACTGAAAGGGTCTCTCCCAGGTATAACTTGTATGACCATAGAAACAGAATAAAGCAGGAAACCCTGCAAAACATACTGCATATAAAGCTATACTGTGACAAGCAATGCCTTGAAAACTTGTGTGACAAGGTGGTTGACAAGTTTTTTCAGCATAAAAGGTAGACAGATAGAGTTTTATCTGGGCTAATCATGTTGTACTTGAATATATATAACCATTGATTCAATGAATAAAGACAATGTTTGATTAATATCTTTATTAAAACATGCCCTTTTCATATAATCATATCACGCCTTAAATGCCCTTTTTCAGGATTGGCACCCTGCCCTTTTGAAATCCTAGCTGGAACACTGTAATAAAGAACCCTAAAATCTGTGCCAAACCCCTAAATTGACATATATTTTAAAATGTTCGCATGATGAAAATGTGTACTAAGTTTCAAGTTGAGGTGACCCAAACTTCATGGTTAGATTCCTTTACCAAAAATATTTTGGGATGGACTAACAGAAGGATAGAGATGGACCAACAGACATACAAACAGTAAAAAATAATACCCCCTACTATCGCAGACTGGGCCTTATAAAATGATGCACAGTGCTATGTATACCAGTAACCAATATGAAATAACTAACCTAGTCTACCAAAAGAAACTGAAATCCATTGTCTGACAAGAGAAAATTTATTTCATTTTGAACCTTTAGCGTATGTATTTGCTTGCACTTTTTTTTGGTAAGTAGTTCGGTCTACTCAACTATAAAAGGTTGTTCTCCCGCCTTTTTCATTTATCGAGATAAATTCACACTTAATAACCATTTCGACAAGTATATTAATAACAATTTGCATGTAGTAACATGATACCAATTTTTCTAACATTTTGTCTTTTATTTTGTAGATGCATGTTACTGTTCATTGAGGAAGTCAACCGTTTTGGACTCTATCGAAATACAATGTCAAATATTATATAATTAAAACTGGTTGGTGTGCCATCTCAATCCTTTATATATTTGTTTGTTATTTATTACAGAGAAATTAGAAGTGAAGTAGAATATAATCATTATTATTCGTACCTCACAGAGAAAATCTTTAAGAGCAGGGAATGTGGGTCTATCCTGTGGCTTGTATGACCAGCATTGTAACATCAACTGGTAAATATCATTTGGACAATGGTTAGGTCGCTGGAGTCGTTTCCCTTCTACATCAATCATATGTAGGATCTATAGAATAGAAAATTTACATAATACTGTAAATTCAGAAATTATTGCGATGTTTTTATTATTGCGAAAAATGCGACAGGGTTATATTCGCAATAATTTAAACTCGCATTTTGACATTTTTTATTTGAATTAAGCAGGATGTTTCTCAATATCGCAAAAATTTAAATCGCAATTTAGTCTAAAATGACAAAATCGCAATAATAAATGCACGCAATAATTTCTGAATTTACAGTAATTATAATTTGAGGCTATTGCATGAATACTGGCAAATTTTGTTTAAGGATGTTCACTACTCTTGTTTCAAAATAACAAGCTTTTTAAAAGACTATTATAAATTGATAGTATGTGAATAAAGGAAACTAAAAAAGGAGAAAAAAATGAAGGGTCCATGTGCTTGTTTTCAAGATATAAGCCAATGAAAATTTAGCGGGAAATGATTCTCTCTAGATTTTTCATACATTTAACATTGGCACTTTTTTCTTTCAAAAACAAAGAAAAAAATAACAAGGACTTTATAAGATTTCAAATATGGCTTTTTGAACTATATGTTATATAATTATGAAAAGAAAAGTAGGGGTTAACGGGCAAAATTTTTAATGGCACTACATGGATAAAACCAGAAGATTCTGAATATCTGGCAAAAATTAAAAAACAAGAGGAGAGAACATCCTTAAGTATTTTTTTATATTGCACAAATTTTGAAGTTTAATTTTTATTCTGCTATGGATAATATTCATCGATATTCATGCAATAATCCCTTTTTAAAGCGCATTTTTGTCATTGATGACATTGATAATTTGAAGCTATTTTTGCACTAGTGCAATATCACAGAATATTGCATGCTATTTTCAAATCTTCGTTACATCCTGTGGAAAATATTATGTTGCTGTACGAGAAAGGATATTTACCTCTTGGTTGACGGTTGCAAAACTTATTGTCATAAGAGATCAAATTCTAAAAAGACTGAAAATATATGCTCCTTCTGTTTGCTTGTGAGTACCAATATTTCTCCACTCTCAATAGTTAAGTTTTAGATTTTTGAAATTCTTGTGAATGATGAAAATTTAAAATTGAACTAAATGTTACTAAAGAAGAGAAATATCATAATCCTTTGCCATAAAACTAAAACCTATATTTTTATGTAGAATCTGTAAAAGAATTTTTTTCCTATTTTTATTATTGACTGTGACAAAAGCTGATCTGTTGAAATTGATCCAGCGTACTTAAAAATCAATATTTAAATCTCTCATTTAGACAATGGTTATATATCTAAAGTTTCAATAGTTCAGAACAAATCAATGAGGGACTGGATGGGGGTCCTTCATTTCTGTATTCTGCAATTTTTTAGTGCATTTTCCTCTATTCTTTATACTATTTGTCCATTATTCTTTATGTTTTAGCACCTCATTATTTTCAATTCCTTATTTTTTTTGGTCCATTTTCTCTATTCTTTGCATTTTTTGCCCATTATTCTCTATTCTGTAAACCCCCATCTACACCCTCAACAGTTTTGTACTTCTGCATTCTTTCATTACAGGATGTTATGTGTTTATCTGTTTACTGTGAATTCAAAATCTAATGAGTGCTAACTTTTTAAAAATCTCTAAAATCTACAACTATGAAAGATTCAAATTTTTTTTTATTTGTAATAGAAACTATTTGCCAAAGAATTAAATCATATTTAATGAATTCAAAATCTAATGAGTGCTTAACTTTTGACAATCTCGAAAATCTACAACTGTCATGACTATGAAAGATTTAAAAAATAAAATTTAATTTGAAATAGAAACTTTTTGCCAAAAAATATTAATGAATTTAAAATCTAATGAGTGCAAACTTTTTGAAAATCACTAAAATCTACAACTATGAAAGATTCAAAAATAAAATTTAATTTGAAATAGAAACTATTTGCCAAAAAAATTAAATCGTATTTAATGAATTCAAAATCTAATGAGTGCAAACTTTTTGAAAATCTAAAATCTACAACTATGAAAGATTTATAAAATAAAATTTAATTTGAAATAGAAACTATTTGCTGAAAAATTAAATCATATTTAATGAATTCAAAATCTAATGAGTGCAAACTTTTTGAAAATCTCTATAATCTAAAAGAATCAATTTGCAAAAAATTTGCAAAAAATTTAAATCATTGAAATGTAAATCTTTTCAATTGCAGGATGAAAGCTCATTATATTTCCGATTTTAATGCAGGTTTCCGTGTTATTTCCATTGATTAGCAATTTTCAATTTGTTTTTTTGTCTGTGATCATTGAAATGCAATTCTTTTTAATAGAAAGATGAAAGCTCATTCTATTTCCGATTTTAAAGCAGGTTTCTATGTCAATACAATTGATGAGCATTTTAATCTGTTTCTTCGTCTGTGGTATTAAGTATACCTGAGAACCATTGTATCCCATCCACGGCTCTGCTCCGTATGTAAACATCTCCCACAAGGTAACGCCAAACATCCAGGTATCGCTGGCGTGAGAAAAAACACGGATCTTTAAACTTTCAGGGGCACACCTAATAAACAATATAAAAATTTCCTATAATCTTCATAAATTATTATTTCATAACATTAATAATACCAATTTAACTGCCCCAGATGCTTATTTCTACAATAAATGTCTCTTGATCAGAGATACTCATCTAAAATATTTTAAAATCCAAAACTTATACACCAAAAAGACAAAAAGTATAGCCAAAGCCAGGCTAGGAATCAAGAGTTTTACATGAGGGAGATATATTCCTTAATTTTAAATAATTTTCAAAATTTTGTAACAGCAAATTTTATGTTAAAATGATATTTCAATATCATTTAACCTATGGATACTTTATAAGTGAAATAAATTTTCAGAAAGTATTTAAAACAACATGTTTAAAGGGAGACAATTCATACATTTTTGTTTTCAGCTTTACACATTAGGTGATTTAGTTTAAAATCAATGAATTTCCAAAGGAAAATCTGGTCAGTGTAGGTAATTCACTCTGACTGTATCTTGGTATATTCCACTGGTAATACGGTGAATCATTTATTTGTGTTATTACCAACTTTCGTCGATTGAGGAAAAATTGTATTTTTGTGGATATTTGATTTCCTGGTTTATGCCAAAGTCTGCATAGCAGCCTATAGACATTTTGTACATTGTTGAACATTTAAATTTGTGGTTTCCTTCTACCCACAAAATCCACGAAAAATCTGTATCCCACAAATAACATTGAATCCACCGTATGACATTGTTGTTTGTATCCTTCAATTATTGAAATTGCACTACATGTATTATACAACCAGAATGATTTTATTGACAATTGTTTTCTTGAATGCATAATTTTGTCCTATCAACAATCTATTCTTGCGATTGATGGATAATCAACACAAATACGACTTTTAATTGTTAACAACATTTTTTTTTAAAGTTCATAGTTCATTTAAATTCAAAGTTAAGCACCTCCACATCTTAAAAACATAGAGAAAAATAAATAATTTTGTTATCTTTTTTTTTTATACAACCCTCTCAATGTACTGTAAAATTGAGAAATTTTTTGCAATGCTTTTATTATTGCAAAAATTGTGTCACAAAAATAAAACCTTCCATTTAAAATTTTGATAGCATGATTTGTATGTAGAATTTCCTGAAAACGCAATAATTCAACTGGCATTTTTATCGATTATCCAACAACCTCAATAATAAATGAACACAATAATTTCTTAATTTACAGTATTCAAATATATAGAATGCACTGTATACTACAACAAAATGGGAAATAACTCAATATGCTGCATACAAATGCATTGAAATGTAATATATCATAGTCCAAGTATCATATAGGAACAAGTTGTATGTATATAAAGAATCAATACTCAGTCTATCATTTACATAATTTACAAAGGGTGCCAAAACAAGTGGAGCAGGATCTGCCTACCCTTCAGGAGCCCCCAAGATTACCCCCATTTGTTGCTCAGTCTGTAGGTGGCTTTTCATTCTATGCCATGGCATTGTCAGATCATTTTCAACTTAGGGCTATTCCATTAAAATGTATGTGGGAGGGTAGGAAGGGAAGTTTAATTATTGAATGTGGGTCATGGGTCTTTTTTCAGTATGCGTCTATTACCATTATGCAAAATTATCTAAAAAATGGTTCTTGGTTGTAGGGATATTTTAAAAGTCCCTTCCTACCCTCCCACATACATTTTAATGGAATAGCCCTTATGAGTTTGAATAACCCTTTGGTATATTTCTCCTCTCTTTTATATCTATACAATTAATGATTAATTGTTAAATTAAAATGAAGCACAATCAGTTATTAATGATCCATGACCATATGTAAAAGAATCAAAATATTTTGACAGGCTGTACTTTTATTATCCCATAAAATTAATATTGGATGCATACATAATGACAAGCAGATGAACTGAAAAAAAAATCCAAATTTTTGCCAAATACTTTAAGGAAGATGTCAAAATAATGTAAAAATGTGTTTGGGTGTCTTAACTTACCAAATTGGATGACTTCAAATAAATAACATTTAAATAATACACATCAAAATCAGCTGGTCACTTTAAAGATATAAATTTTATTCATGTCAAATTTTTGCCAATAAATATGATAATTTTCTGAAATTCATCAAATATATAACTGAAAAATCGTAAGGGTTCCACGGAACCCAGTGTCTCGCCTACTTTTTCTGTTAATCGCAGGCTCAACAAAAATGAGGAAGTAAATCAATAAAAATATTCCTCTTGATACTATCTTTTGATTGTAAGAAGCTTCTGTCGAAGTTTGGTAAAAATCCAGGATAATTTATGATTCTAATAAATGTTTAAAAACTTTAACTGCAGACTGAATGTAATGTTAACTGGAAGAAAACAAAATTTCCTTCTAGATACTAGCATTTGATCATAAACAAGCTTCTGTCCAAGTTTGGTACAAATCCAAAATAGTATAAAAAAGTTATTAAAATTCTAAAAACTTTAACCACAGAGTGAATGTGTTGTTTCCTGGCAGAAAATCTAAGTCCATTTAAAAGTAAAATACGGAAAAAATGGATTTATTTTTTTACAAAATTTCATTCTAGATACTAGCTTTTGATCATAAACAAGCTTCTGTCCAAGTTTGATACAAATCCAAAATAGTATAAGAAAGTTATTAAAATTTTAAAAATATTTAACCACAGAGTGAATGTGTTGTTTCCTGGCAGAAAATCTAAGTCCATTTAAAAGTAAAATAAGGAAAAAATGGATTTATTTTTTTACAAAATTTACTTCTGGATACTATCTTATGATCATAAACAAGCTTCTGTCCAAGTTTGGTACAAACCCAGGATAGTTTAAGAAAGTTATTAAAATTTTAAAAACTTTAACCACAGAGTGAATGTAATATTTCCCGGCAGAAAAACTAAGTCCATTTATAAGTAAAATACGTAAAAAATGATATTTTATTTTTACAAAATTTACTTCTGGATACTATCTTATGATCATAAACAAGCTTCTGTCCAAGTTTGGTAGAAATCCAGGATAGTTTAAGAAAGTTATTAAAATTTCAAAAACTTTAACCACAGAGTGAATATTTGTGGACGCCGCCGCCGACGGAATGTAGGATCGCTATGTCTCGCTTTTTCGACTAAAGTCGAAGGCTCGACAAAAATATTAAAAATACAAAATTCAACATTCTGATCTTTTTTTTTTTTTAATTGTTGGTTTGAAATTAAACATGGAAATTACATGAAAATTATATATGAAATTAAATGTCTAAATTTGATATGCAAATGAGATTACCTCTCCAGTGTAGACATAAGGCAAAATATAAAAAAAAATTAGGACCTCAGGTCCTCTCTCATCTACTCAAAACCTGACTCAAAGACTATTTTTGATTTTTGAAATAATCTAAGTGCAAGAATTACTGCAATTTCAGAAATTTTTGTGTGCATTTATCATTGGAATTGTTGAACAGTGCTGGTACCTTAATGCTATCCAGATAGATAATGCAATATGTATATAAATTTAAAATATTAGTTATTATTGTTGCGAAACCTATACGTAGCAATTTTCATTATAATAAAACATCGTAAAATATTCCGGCATTTGCAGTCATAATTTATCATAAAAATATCACGATATTTATAAAGAATTTCCAGAATAAATTGAATGGGGGATCAAAAGGCACTTTTATCAATATTTGATGGGTGGTGGTTATTTTACATAAATAGCCTTAACAGTTACATGAAATAATCAATTAAAATTTTATTCATGGCAGGGTTAAATAAAAAGTGCCTTCTGACCCCCCCCCCCCCCTTACATTTATTTATTTCTGGAATAGCCCTAACAGACAACAAATTATAAAGAGTAGTTTCATTTTTTGTTGGAAAATAACAAAAATATCTCCTAGCCTCATCTGATATTTAGAAAATGTAGACATAAGGCAAAATATATAAAAAAAAAAAAGTACCTCCTAGTCTCATCTGAAATTTAGAAAACTGGCCTTAGGATTAACAAAAATTTTTATATGGCCTAACAATATTGTATTCTTAATTTCAAACTTGTAGATTTACCATGCAAATGGAATTTTCTTTTGATCTGACATGACATAATGGTCTTCTTGGTTTGGTAAAGCCCTCATCAATCCAAAATCTCCTATTTTGACCTGGAAGTAAATAAATATATTCAATAACCTTAGTTATATCAATAAACTTTTTTGAGGTATATTTACCACATACATTTAGGATGTCCGCTGATCTTACTTTTGACATTTTGTCAGATATTCGGATCCTCTGGTTTTATCCATGTTGTGCTATTAAAAATTTTCCATGGTAACCCCTACTTTTCTTTTGTAATTTTATTACATATAGTTTAAAAAAAGCCATTTTTAAAAATCTTATAAAATCCTTGTTATTTTTTCATAGTTTGGAAAGAAAAAAGGGGCCAATGTTCAATCATAAAAAATCTAGAGAATCATTTCCTGCCAAATTTTCAATGGTTTATTTCTCTAAAACATCTGGTACCTTAATGTTGTCAAGATAGGTAAATCCCCAAGCTTATTCTGAAAAATTAACTGACAATTTTTCATTTACTAGACTTTCAGATGTTAAAGAAGTAATCTTAGAGCAGCAGAATATAACTTCATATTTATTCAGGTTATGTCACATATAAGTATTTTTCAAGCTTAGGGATGTTTGCTCCTTTTGTTTTTGAATTTTTGCCAGATATTCGGAATCCTCTGGTTTTATCCATGTAGTGCCATTAAAAAATTTTGCCCACTAACCCCTACTTTTCTTTTCATAATTTGAATAAATATAGTTTATAATGCCATCTTTGAAAATCTTTTAAATCCTTATTTTTTCTTACTTTAAGACAGAAAAAAGATGCCAATGTTAAATGTATGAAAAATCTAGAGAGAATCATTTCCTGCCAAATTTTCAATGGCTTATATCTCGAAAACAAGCACACGGACCCTTCATTTTTATCTGCTTTTTTAGTCCCTTTATTTATAAACTATCAATTTATAACAGTCTTTTAAAAAGCTTATTATTTTGAAACAGAGTAGCGAACATCCTTAAATAATACTTAATTCAAAACATGTCTGTAAGCCATTTCATGGTGATTGACAAACTTAGTCCAATAGGTACTCACCTTATCTGGAGGGGATAATAAAACATTCCTGCAAGCCAGATCTCGGTGTATGAAACGTTTGGATTCCAGATAACTCATCCCTGTTGCTATCTGTATGGCATAATCACACAGACAGGATAACAGTATCTTCTCTTGTTCCTGGTGTAGTTTTTCTAACATAGAGCCTAGGGGAGCTAACTCTGTTACCTATAAGGATAAAAAAAGTTTATGAATTAAGTAATCTAAATATTAAACTGAATTTGTATGATATTGTGAAAATTTTAATCTAAAGACAACATGAAAGTTGTCATGGAAAAATAATAACTAGGAGAGATATTGTATTTCCAATGGGGAAATGTCTGTTTTTTGTCTATTATAAAGCGAAGGGGAGCAAACTCTGTTACCTACAGGAATAAAAAATCAAAATTACAACAAACATAAAATAACTGAGATCGTGCTTAAGGCTGTTCATCTTAACATACATGGTTATGTAAAAAGCTTTTTGAAAATGTGACATGATGAAATATAGCATAGGGGTGACTGATATCTATGACATTACGTCAAACCAATGGCAGGTTTGATAAAGATTTTGTAACTGTGACCGATATCTATGACATGACGTCATTCCAATATAGAGTTTGCTAAATGTAACTGTGACTGATGTCTATGACGTTATGTCATACAGATTACAGGTTTAATAAAGCGTTTGATATCAATATCATTGCAGATGGCAGATACAGCACCATTGCCATTGATTGCATTTTACATGCAATTAACTTTAAAAAGATAAAAGTAAACCAACACCCATCTATGGTAGTCGTATGGTACATTGTAGGATAGCAAAAGTGGATACCTAGCTGTATGCGGCGGTTTTCTATCGCATAGTCAGTATACAAAAAGATTAAAAAAATAACAACACTATAGCTGTCACTAAGTTGCGGTATCTTTTATTGTGTCTACTTGTTTCGCCACAGAGTGGTGTCATGTGGACAATTACATACTGTTATAGATTACTGAAGTACAACAACTGAGGTTTACTTCGCGGTTGACCGAAAATGGTAGATATGTGGTAAAAACCTGAACGTCCCGTGACTGGGACTGTATTGTAATAAATATGAAATGTAAAGAAATTAATAAAACGTTATACAATAGATATAAAATTGAATATGAAAATAAATATAAACATAAAAATAAAAATAAAATTGCAGATAAATTGTATAGTAATTGTCCATATTTAGTGGATTCGTCTTTGAATCTTTATGTATACAATTTACTTATATTTACTACTACTGTGGATTCATTATCATTCCTGAGATAATCGGTTTTCATGGATTCAGTGAGTACAGGTGAACCACAAATTTAAATGTCCAACTAATAACAAATCATTTATAAGCTTGTGTGCAGACTTTGGTAAAACCACAAAATCAAATATCCACAAAAATGGAAGTTTTTCTCAATCCCTGTAAATTTATTCCGACAAATATTAATGAATCCACAGTCAGCTTAAAATAAAAATCTGTACATACCATCATAAGAGGAGTTGATAATACAATCCCATACAGTCTAATCAAGTTAGGATGAGATAATGTGTGCATGGCATTAACTTCCTTTACAAAGTCTTCAAAAGCACCTGGTAGTGCCAACACATCTTTTCTTAGAATTTTCACAGCTACTATCTAGAAAAAAAAATCAAAAAATTTCTATTAGGTATCCATTTCCTACCTAAAAAAATAAACAATTTTCTATGAAAATGACTTTCAGGAAAATTAGAAGACTTGTAGAACTCTCTTCACAAAATCAATTTCTTTGAAGGATTTGAACTGTTTTTATTCTTTCAATTTTTTCTTATATTGGAACATTGTCAAAGATAAAGCTAGTACATTTTGGTTTGCTTTATTACCAAACAAGAAAAAAAGAATAGGACACCATGTGCTGTACACTCTATCATATATCCATGTTTAGTGAACCATAAAATATTGGTCAAAAAAATTAAAGTTAATTTGGCATAAAAAGTTTACATCATAAGTATATAATGAACATGTGTACTAAGTTTCAATCAGGGATGGGGTCAATTACTTTAAAAAGTAATTGATTGAATTACAATTACTTTGCTAATTTAATGTAATCAATTACATTACAATTACACCTAAATTCAGATGTAATCGATTACATTAGATTACTTTTCTTTAAAGTACATTACGATTACTTGTAATCAGAAAATGCTTGATTACTGATTACATGTGATTACTCTGCAAAATGTAATCGATTACAGCTGATTACGATTACTGATTACGATTACCCCATGCCTGGTTTCAAGTTGATGTTAGTACAACTTAAGGTACACTTACTTAAATCAAAACTTTAATCTGACCAGCAACTGTTAAATCTGGATCAAAACCCAAATTTGGCATGTATACTATTTTTTTTTAATTCACATCGTAATGGACATGTGGCCTAAGATTTATGTTGATATATAAGTACATCTTCATGGTGAATTACAAATATACCTATAACCAAAACTGTAACCTGTGATGATATTGACACAGATGCACGGAAATGCACCCCTGCCTAAAATGATTTTGCAAAAATCATTATTTTTACTTTTTACGACCATTTTGATTTTTGATAACAGTCCACATACCTTAATGCAAACGAGGAAAGACAAGTTTTTTCTAAATACCATAATCAACATTGGGATTATTTTTCATTTTGAGAGTGGAAGAAATATGTTTACTTTAGGTAGCTGGGGTGTCTAAATGTTCGACGATAAGAGTTTTCTAAAACTTCTGTAAGACTTTTTTCTGAGTCAATGTACTTTTTTCACAGACCTTGTTTTTTCGTTAAAATACATTGAAATTAACAATATTTTAATTATTTTATATTGTTTATATAGGGGAAACTTTTCCTTATCGAGGAAGCATTAAGCGATAGAATTGGCTAAAATTCGATGAAAGAATTACTTCTTATAAATACTTCTGAAATATCAAATAACAATAACGGGTCACAGGCCTTATTACTTGAAAAATCAAAAAAACACAAATTGTCATATCAAATTCAGTATAAATATCTCCCTTTGATTCTAAACTGATTTTTTCTGAAAAATTTAAATATACTTTAAGATACTTAATTTTTTGATAGTTTAATGTCTAAATTTCAAGTTTTAAGTATTTTGTTGTATATTGAATGAGAAACTTGGTGAAATATTTTTAAAACAAAAAGTATTTTTGCAACTTCAACCCTGTAGGGATCCTCAGAAAAAGACACCCTATCTACCTTAAATGGATTGTTTCTCCTAAATATGATCATAGATGTATACAGTAACATTAGATTTACAAATTAGCTTCTTTAAAGTCATATCCTACACACATATGTTGTTAATATTTTACACAGATTAAAATTTCATATTTTAAGTAGATCTTTATGAATGAAAAAATTCTCTTAGTTATTAATCTAATTGGTCTATAAACAGTTCAGAACATTAAACGCTGGCATTAAATCAATTATAAAAATGCTGATATATACCAATTATCAGATTTCGTTTTGTTACTGCAAAATATCAGCTGACAGCCACAATGAGATATAAGAATAAGAATATGTGGTATGGTTGCCAAAATTCCCAAATGAGGTAGAAGTTAGCAACAATATTTCCATGTAAGGCCTTCAAAAACGAGCAAAACCCATACTGCATAGTAAGCTATAAAAGGCTCTGAAATGAAGCTTTTTTTGTAGTGAGCCCAGGCTATCATATGGTATATTTTGTTGGGAATCAGAAAATGAATTTATCTGATTATATTTGTATGTTTTTCATGACAGAAATTTATGTTTTTATTTTGTTCACCAGTAATCCAGGAGTACTTGATAAGTTTAGTTAAAAACATTTTGACATCGGTGATAAGTCGAGGTCAAAGTAATGAAGGATTGGTCAAGATCAACATTGTTTTCATTACAAAGCTGTGACATGCAAATTTTTGAAGAACTACACAGAAGTGATACAGGTAAAGGGAAAATTGTTATTTTCTATTTGTTTGTTTATGAAATTATAAAGAATGTGATTTATCATCGACTTTTCTTCTTAATGAGCAAAGTTACTGGTGCCACTAGCAGTGCAGGATCTGCTCATCCTTTCTGATCATCTGAATTCACTACCCATTTTTGTTGGGTTGGATTTGCTAATCATAAGTTTTCTGTGAAGCTTTAAGTGTTTTATAAACTGTTGTTGTAATTTGTCTTTTTTAGGAGGGGGAGGGGGGCATGGTGTATTTTGTCTTTCTATGACTTATATCTATGATCTTCGATTGACCCCTTGATACCTTATAACATTAATTTCTTTTACATAAATATTCTGTTACCATGGTCATGGTTACTGTTAATTCAAATGTTTCCTCTTTGGTGTCCATTTGATTTGATACTTATGATTGATTGATTAATTGTTGGTCTTTAGCACAACTTTAAGAACTCTTGCCGACTAGTTTTAGTAGTGGAGGATCCCCAGAGTACACGGAGACAGCCATTGACTTTTGGCAGGAAAATTGGCAATCCTAGTCAATTAAGACTGGAGTCAAACACACCTTGTCAAGACTGGGGTTTGAACTCACAACCTCAGTGTTGACTGCAGGTAAATGATCTTTTATTTTGATTTGAATGGATATCTTATCTCATGTTGTATACCTTTTTCCCTGTTAGTGTGGTCCATTCTGCTTTACGGACAACTCCAAATGAACCATTTCCCAGTTTTTCTTGCAGAAACAACGATTTCTCACTGATCAGGCATGTCAACACTTGGTCTTGGTTGCCCTTAGCAACAGGAGAATTAATTTTCTTTCCATCAGATTTATCAGTAGTTGTTTTTCCTCCAGGAAGGATCTGAAATGTTTAAATATTTTCCATTTATAAATTAGAATTAAAATCAAATCCCTATCTAAGGTAAATGTTTAACCCCATCACACTCTGTATGTGCCTGTTCCAAGTCAAGAGCCTGTAATTCAGTGGTCGTCCTTTTGTTGTTGTTTATTAAATTTGTTTTTCATTTATTTTACAAAAATCAGGCAGTTTGTTTTCTTGTTTGAAATGTTTAACATTTGGCAGTTAGTTTTCTTGTTTGAATTGTTTAACATTTGGCAGTTAGTTTTCTTGTTTAAATTGTTTAACATTTGGCAGTTTTGGGCTTTTTATAGCTTGCTGTGTGGTTTGGGTTTTGCTCATTGTTGAAGGCCGTTTGGTGACCTATAGTTGACAACTTGTATTGTCATTTGGTCTCGGGTAAGGAGTTGTTTCTTTGACAATCGTACCACATCTTCTTTTCTAAATTATCTATTCTGAAGAGTAACCAATGATATATATGAGTTATAAAATTGAGAAAGGAAATGGGGAATGTGTCAAAGAGACAATAACCCGACCAAAGAGCAGAAAACAGCCCAAAGCCACCAATGGGTCTTCAACACAGAGGCGAGCTTCAGCTGGCCCCTAAACAAAAATGTGTACTAGTTCAGTGAAAATGGACTTCAGTAGTTGTCGTTTGTTGATGTGGTTCATAAGTGTTTCTCGTTTCTCATTTTTTATATAGATTAGACCGTTGGTTTTCCCGTTTGAATGGTTTTACACTAGTAATTTTTGGGGCCCTTTATAGCTTACTGTTCGGTGTGAGCCAAGGCTCCGTGTTGAAGGCCGTACTTTGACCTATAATGGTTTACTTTTATAAATTTTGACTTGGATGGAGAGTTGTCTCATTGGCACTCATACCACATCTTCTTATATCTATTCACACTAAAGTAAATTATACATACAGCATTATTTAATATCAGCAGGTTAAGTAGTTAGAGCTTGCTTTCAGTAACTTCAAGCATTCTTTGATTTATAATTGATAACTTGTCATGCTTGTAAAGTACAGAGGGAAATTTTATTTAAGGCTATATTTTTGGTATTTTCGGGATTTATTTCCCCTCAATTAAAATTGATCTATTAATTAAGGAAACCATGAAATTCAATCTCCCAAAAATAAACCAATTTACAGTATTTGTTTTTTTTATTATTCATCATGCGGTCATAGATTTAAGTCCTTTTTCAGTATTGATCTTAATAAATGAATATTCAAGGCAATGAATGCATGCATTGATTGCATTCATCTCTTATCGGAGTTCAAACACATGAAATTCATAACATGTTGTTTTCATTTTTTTTTTGGAAATGGTTGTCTTTATGGCACAAAAAAATTCCCTCACAGTACAGATTTATAATAATAAAAAATTTAAGACAGACAACTGTTTAAAAATTTGATATATCACAAACCATACATTCTGTAAAATGGTTTATTTTCACAAGGTTTTGAATTAGTGATTTTTAGTGCCAAACCATTTTGAGTTTATCTTGTCACTAATTCTTGTCTTTCTTAAAGATCAAATCTACAAGACATTAGGATATATTTGCAATTTTTTATAAAAATGTATGCCTTGCAAAAACTTTGGAATATACTGTATACTGTATTCTGTATACTGTTTCATCTTTATTGACATACAAGGCAAACTGATTGAAGTTCAATGACCAGCAATTTTTTTTTAATTTACACATGTTACAGTAGCTATGTAGTGCTGAATATTTATTATTATGCTAATTTATACAAAATTGTACAGCATAATGGCATTCTAAATTACCGAAAAATTTACTCAGTCCATTTTCTGAAAGAAACTTAAGAAAATCACAATCCAGAAAATACATATAAACTTGGTGTTTGTACACCTATTTCAAAATAAAAAGGCGTCGTATGAAAACTAGTGTATAAAGAGTTTGGCGGAAAAACCAAGCGGTAAACTACCAACAACTCCTAGGACTGCCGTGACAACATCATAACAATCTTACTTTGTCAAAAATTCTTGACCGTCTGGTAGCTTTCTTTTTCTTGACAGCATCTATCAGCCTCCTGATGGCAGGTTTACCCATACCAATCTTCTCCAAATCTTCTGTCTTGACATAGTCAAAATGGCCAAGTCTGAAATGAAAAATATCAAAATATAGTAAATGTGGTCAAGTCTGGTATGAAAATATCATAACATAATCAAAACGGTTAAAATGTCTTCACATATATAGTCAAAATGGCCAAGTCTGAGATGAAAATACCAAATCAGTTAAAAAGCCCAAGTCTGAAATGAAAATATCAAATCATAGTCAATATGGCCAAGTTTGAAATGAAAATATCAAATCATAGTTAATATGGCCAAGTCTGAAATGAAAATATCAAATCATAGGCAAAATGGCCAAGTCACAAATGAAAATACCAGATCAGAGTCAAAATGGCCAAGTCTGAAATGAAAAAAAAAAACAAAACATAGTCAAAAGGCCAAGTCTGAAATAAAAATATCAGATCATAGTCAAAATGGCTAAGTCTCAAATGAAAAAAACAAAACATAGTCAAAATGGCCAAGTCTCAAATGAAAATATCAGATCATAGTCAAAATGGCCAAGTCTGAAATGAAATTACCAAATTATAGTCAAAATGGCCAAGTCTTAAATGAAAATATCAGATCATAGTCAAAATGGTCAAGCTGTCTTCAGAAGACAGCTTGACCATTTTGACTATGATCTGATAGTTCACATTGTAAATTGCTTAACTGTGTGTAATGCCATAGTCAAAATAGTTATAATTAGCCTTTAACATAGCTATATCATTTTTTACTGCACTGGGTCAATACCAGGACAGGTGGACTATCAGTCCATTAGGGTATCATCAGCTCAGTATTCAGTACTTAGGTACTGACATGATTTATAACAAACCTTTCTTAAATAGTCCATTTCTAAATTTAGTACTTATTTAGAAACTAAGGTTTCAACTTCCTCAGGCAAGTTGACCTTAGATGGATTTGGCTATTATTTTTAAATCTTTTTAGTCATATAGCTTTTCAATTGTTTCCGTTCATATACATCCTTGGCTTTCAATAGTCATTGTCAAAATCGCAACTCTGTCTTGACATACATGTAGTCAAAATAGTTAAGTTGTCTTGACATGGTCAAAATGGTTAATCTGTCTCAACATGGTCAAAATGGTTAATCTGTCTTGATATGGTCAAAATGGTTAAGATGTCTTGACATGGTCAAAATGATAAATATGTCTTGACAAAGTCAACATGGTTAATCTATCTTGACATACATGTAGTCAAAATGGTTAAGTTGTCATGACATGGTCAAAATGATTAATATGTCTTGACATAGTCAACATGGTTAATCTGTCTTGAAATACACGAAGTCAAAATGGTTAAGCTGTCATGACATGGTCAAAATGGTTAAGTTGTCTTGACATGGTAAAAATGGTTCAGATGTCTTGACATGATAAAAATGGTTAATATGTCTTGACATAGTCAAAATGGTTAATCTGTCTTGACATACATGAAGTCAAAATGGTTAAGTTGTCTTGACATGGTCAAAATGGTTAATCTGTCTCGACATGGTCAAAATGGTTAATCTGTCTTGACATGGTCAAAATGGTTAAGATGTCTTGACATGGTCAAAATGATTAATATGTTTTGACATAGTCAACATGGTTAATCTGTCTTGACATACATGTAGTCAAAATGGTTAAGTTGTCATGACATGGTCAAAATGATTAATATGTCTTGACATAGTCTACATGGTTAATCTGTCTTGACATACACGTAGTCAAAATGGTTAAGCTGTCATGACATGGTCAAAATGGTTAAGTTGTTTTGACATGGTCAAAATGGTTCAGATGTCTTGACATGATCAAAATGGTTAATATGTCTTGACATAGTCAAAATGGTTAATCTGTCTTGACATACATGAAGTCAAAATAGTTAAGTTGTCTTGACATGGTCAAAATTATTAATCTGTCTTGACATGGTCAAAATGGTTAATCTGTCTTGACATGGTCAAAATGGTTAAGCTGTCTTAACATGGTCAAAATGGTTAATCTGTCTTGATATGGTCAAAATGGTTAAGCTGTCATGACATGGTCAAAATGGTTCAGATGTCTTGACATAGTCAAAATGGTTAACCTGTCTTGACATAGTCAAAAATGGTTAATCTGTCTTGACATTGTGGAAATGGTTAACCTGTCTTGACAAAGTCAAAATGGTTAATCTGTCTTGACATGGTCAAATGGTTTACCTGTCTTGAGTCTGTCGATCTTGAAATAGTGAAAATAGTAAATCTGTCTTCACAATGTGAAATGAGCATTGAGCTAGCTAGTGCTGCACATGTATGATTAAAGTTATATATATAACCAAAACTATTTATAGTCAAATAGAGGTATAAAATCATTGTCAAAATAGAAAATTCATTTTAATGAAAAGAATTCTGTTTCTTTTACTGTAAATTCAGAAATTATTGCGATGTTTTTATTAATGTGAATAATGCAGCTTGGTGAGTATCGCAATAATAAGAACTCACATTCTGATATCTGATACAAACATGTAAATATGTATTCACCTTTTCTGAAATCGCAATAATTAATCTAGCATTTTTGTTCATTCTTCCAAAATTGCAATAAAAAATACAGCAATAATTTCTGACTTTACAATATTTAAGATCAACAAAAAATATATGAGACTGGGTTTAATAAGATGGTATGTTGAGTATACATAAAAACAAACATAACAGAGAGGATATGAATAGCTCGATCAAACCCACCTGAAAAATCAATTACCTTATAAATTGGGAAATTTAATGTCATGTTTTTAAGTAGGAAAAATTTGACATGATGAATACTGCAGAAATTGAAACCACATTAATCTTTGCTAGTAAATAACTCCCACTACAGTAACGACATAGCATTAATCAATCTTGCATCATTGTTGGTTGTTAAAAATTTGCAATGTTAACTGCTCACATTGAATTCTACAGTTCGTTAGACTAAGTGCAAAGTGCAATTGTACTTGACAACATTAAAATAAATTGCTTCACAGAGTGCAGCTGGATATGACCGCAGAGGTCCAACCCTGAACAGTTGGGGCAAAAATGGACACAATATTCGCGCTTGATACAGGTCTGAATTTGGATTGTAATTAAATATTTGACACATAATAGGTTTCTGACACAGAATAACTGTAGTCAAAGAACTTAGAATTGGTTATATAATTTGAATTTATATTCATTTTTTTGCTTTTGTGCAATGCACTATGCTGTTGCAAATTGACCTCCCCCCCCCTTTTTAAAAAAAAAACAATTTGAAGGATTTTCTTTTTGATTTCTGATATCTTAAGGAGAAAAATTGTCCCCCCTCCCCAATTTTTTTAACCTCCCTCCCCTCTTTTTCCAAAAAAAAATTCTTTCCCTCAGTCATGGTCATACTCATAATTTTAATTCAAATTTCCATGGAGTTTGCAACCATAATAACCCATCTAAATACATCATAAAAGTCTTCAAATAGAAAATGACATACATAATCATAGCTAAAATTAATTTACCTTAATCAGCATTTTTAAAATTATTAAAATAGTAACTTCTAAAAATAAATTGACAGCTAATCACCTCAAGACAATACAAATAAAATGCTCCGCAGGGAGCAGCTTGATACGACCGCAGAGGTCGAACCCTGAACAGTTGGGGCAAGTATGGACACAACATTTAAGCTTGATACAGCTCTGAATTTGGATTGTGATTAAATATTTGACACAGCATAGGTTTCTGACACAGAATGAATGTGGTCTAAGAACTTAAAAATTTTAAATTGGACATTCACCTATTATGGTTCAATATCCAAAATCTAAATACATGGTTAGATTCAGCATATCAAAGAACCCCAAGAATTCAATTTTTGATGAAATCAAACAAAGTTTAATTTTGGACCCTTTTGACCTCAATGTGGACAAAGTTGGTAACGGGGCCCAAAAATCAAAAATCTAAATACATGGTTAGATTCAGCATATCAAAGAACCCCATATATTCAATTTTTGTTGAAATCAAACAAACTTTAATTTTGGACCCCGATTTCGACCAACTTGAAAACTGGGCCCATAATAAAAAATCTAAATACATGTTTAGATTCAGCATATCAAAGAACCCTAAGAATTCAATTTTTGTTAAAATCAAACTTAGTTTAATTTTGGACCCTTTGGACCTTAATGTAGACCAATTTGAAAACGGAACCAAAAATTAAGAATCTAAATACACGGTTAGATTCGGCATATCAAAGAACCCCAATAATTCAATTTTTGATGAAATCAAACAAAGTTTAATTTTGGACCCTTTGGGCCTCAATGTGGACCAATTTAAAAACGGGGCCCAAAATCCAAAAACTTAATACACGGTTAGATTCAGCATATTAAAGAACCCCAAGAATTCAAGAATAAAACCCCATTGAAATTGGTCAAGAAATAAGCAATTTATATGAAGTATCTTCTTTTGCACAATACTGTGCAATTGAATATTTCTTGCTATTGCGCAATACTGCACAATGGACAATTTCTTGCTATTGCGCAATATTGTGCTATTGGATATTTCTTGCTATTGCGCAATACTGTGCAATTGAAGATTTCTTGCTATTGCGCAATACTGTGCAATTGAAGATTTCTTGCTATTGTGCAATACTGTGCAATTGAAAATTTCTTGCTATTGCACAATACTAATTATATATAAATTTATACATCCTGTTTGGTGTGTATCTCCTACCATATCATTATTATTTGCTTTTAAATATTAATCAGAAATAACCAACTTAAAATGGAAAATTTCAAAAGAAAAAAAAAAGGAAAAAAAGAAAAAAAAGGAAAAAAAAAACAAAAATCCACCCCCCCCCCCAAATTTTTTGAACCCCCTTATGATTCATCACCCCCAACTCCAATCCCAGCCTTCCCTTTGTGGTATGGTACCTTGCAGTACAATTTCAGAGAGATCCATACACTTGAACACAAGTTGTTGTCTGGAAACTAGAAAAATGTGTTTTTTGGCCCCTTTTTGGCCCCCAATTCCTAAACGTTTCGGGCAATTACCCCCAAACTCAATTCCAGCTTTCCCTTTGTGATATGGAACCTTGTAGTA